TTTGGATTTGTAATTCTTATATAAATATATATATATATGATATATTATATAAATATGGTTTTGCTCACTGTCTGACTTCCCACAATTCAATGGAAGCATTTTTGAGGCATGGACCTTTTGTAGTTTATTCATTCATTTTGTGTAGATTTGGGTAGGCTTGACATTCTTTTTGTTAAGCCCTCTGCCAGAGCAACAAGGGCTCTTAACCACTGAGTTTCATACACACAAGAATAAAAAGAGTCTGTAAAATCTCCATCAAAACACCTACAACCTTTTTTTATTTTCCAGAACTGAAAGTCTGATCCTCAACTTCACATGGAAGTACAGAGGCTTCAAGTGTCATGACAACAGTTGGAAAAGAGAAACAAAATTGGACGATGCACTATCTGCTGTCACACTCCCCATTGGCAGTGGCCATGTCAGAGGAGCGGCAAGTAGCAATTGAAGTTCAGCTGACATGCTTTCCTTGTTAGGTCCAGTTGATGATCACAGGTGATGGTTAATTCCTTGACCTCAATCTTCTGATATAAGAAGCTATTGATGAATGGGTATATACCCCGAAGATTCAAAGTTCAGCTGACTGACTGCCAGACCACCAGGAGGAAACTCTGTGATGGGTGAATTTCATTTAGACAAGGCCATGGGACTATAGACCCGGAATGTCTTTTGCTTCTGCTGTGCCTTTACATGTTTGCTTCTGCTATGTTTCTCAGGTACCTGGCGTGGTGTGAATGGGTGTGGGGAGAGCTTCATGGCCTGTGATGTAGTATGTTTATCACATAGAAACATCCCCTTCTACTGGGCATTTTTACCTGCAGATTGTCATGAAGATGATTCCTTCCTAAATTGACTGTCTAATTGATAATAATAATGATAGCTTATACAGAGTTTTGATGAATAAAAAATAAATACAAGGATGTTTCACAGCTAAGGTCTACAAGTTTCATATAAGGAGCTACTTTAGATCACAGCTCAGGTTAATGATTAAGAAGAACAATTGGGTCCCCAGGAACCAGGCTGGCTCGAATTCTCTTAATGCTGAAAAGATGCCATTATGAGTTTTGATGTGCACCATTAGCTGGAACAAAGCTTCAAAGTAACTTCAGGTTAGACTAGATGCTTTTCTAATAGTTTTAAAATAAATAACCCCAGAAAACAATCTAAAGTTTACAAGGACACATAGCTGAGTTGTCTGATTCATTAGGCTAGGGTAAAAAATACCGAACAGCCCAATTGTTGCTAGCTGATGTACTTTCCTTGCTTGGACTGGTTGATGATCAAAGGTGATGATTAATTCCTTGTACCCGTTTCTGACCTCAGTCCTCTGATATAAGAAACTATTGATGAATGGATATGTACCCTGAAGATTCAAAGTTCCAGCTGACTGTTTTTATGTATAAAAGTTTAGTTTTGTGACTCCTTTAAAATTCCTTATAGGATTACCTTTCAAGATAGATAACTAAGTGATTGATTCTTTCTTTGTAACTGTAGTTTGCAGCCTACAAACAAAAGAGTTGGCTGAGAAAAAAAATGCTCCTTGCTTACTTATGATTCTATTAATCTGTAACAAGTTACTTAGATGTATTATATGTAGGTTATTGGGGTGACTCTGTTTTTAATCATGTAAGGGAGATGAAAAACATGTTTTTACCTGTATTCATCACAATCATTTACTTGAAAAAATGGAATGTAACCTCATTGTGATCCTTGTATTGCCTGAAAGATTTCATTGGGTTATATAAGCTGTAGAGGGGGAGAGGAGGACAGAAGAAGAAGAAGAGACCAGATAATTAAGAAGGAAACCATCAAGAGAGCATGTGAATGTCTTTTCCCCTGACCTCCTCAGATAGAAAAGTCCAGTATGTGCCAAGGCTGTGGATTCCTTTTGAGCCCTGTGTTACCTGGAGGCTGGCCCACCAGGCGGCGATACACTATAAAGTGTGCTACTCACAGCAGTGTGGCGTTGGTATCAGGAAAAGCATATAGACAGTGGGTAAACTGAGAAACAAATCCTCACATCTATGGCCAACCGCTCTGTAGTGAGTTTAGATGTAATTGGCCCCCATAAGCTCACAGGGAGTGGCACTATTAGGAGGTGTGGCCTTGTTGGGGTAGGTGTGACCTTGTTGGAGAAAGTGTGTCACTGTAGAGGCAGGCTTTGAGTTCTCTTATGTTCAAGCTATGCCTAGTGAGGACACAGTTGCTTCTGCTGCCTGTGGATCAAGATGCAGAGCTCTTAGCTCCTTCTCCAGCACCATGTGTGCCTGCATACTACCATGTCCCAAATGATGATAATGGACTAAACCTTTAAAACTGTAAGCTAACCCAATTAAATGTTTTCTTTATAAAAGTTGCTGTGGTCATGGTGTCTCTTCACAGTAATAGAACCCCTAACTAAGATAGATTGCAGGATGACACAATGGGAAGAATGCTCCACAAACATTCCTGAGACAACTGGATACCCACATACAAGAGAACAGAGCTGGACCCCTATTGTGCTTATTTCTGCTCTTTTGCGGGGCCCACCATCCAGCTCCCAAATCAATCATGCACAGAGGCTTATTCTTAATTATGGATGCATAGCCTCAGCCTGGCTTAGTTTCTTACCAGCTTTTCTTTTTTTTTTTTTTTTTTTTTTTTGTTTTTGTTTTTGAGACAGTTTCTCCGTGTAGCTTTGGTGCCTGTCCTAGATCTTACTCTGTAGACCAGGTTGGCCTCAAACTCACAGAGATCCACCTCGATCTGCCTCCCGAGTGCTGGGATTAAAGACTTGTGCCACCACCACCCAGCCTTGCCAGCTTTTCTTAGCTTAAATTATCCCATCTACCTTTTGCCTCTGGGCTTTTCCCATTTTCTTACTTCTGTGAATCTTACTCTTACTCTGTGGCTTGCAGTGTAGCTGGGTGGCTGGCCCCTGAAGTCCTCCTCCTTCTCTGGCTCCTCCTTCTTCCTCCTTTTTCCAGATTTCTCCTTCTATTTATTTTCTCTACCTGACAGCCCCACATATTTCTCTCCTGCCTTACTGTTGGTCAGTTCTTAATTAGACCATCAGATGTTTTAGACAAGCACTGTAGCACAGCTTCACAGAGTTAAACAAATGCAACATAAACAAAAGTAACACACCTTAAATAATATTCCCCAACAGATCACCATGAGGAAGAAAGAATTAACTACAAGAGCTAAAAATATGACTTGCAATATAAAGCATGGGCTGGGAGTTGGATTCTTAGCCATGTCATGGAAAGCACAATCAACAAAGGCAAAAAATAGAAAACTGGACTTCATAAAGTTGGATTTTTGTGTATCAATGAACATTATCAATAAAGAGGAAAGACAACATACAGTACAGTATATGTGTGTGTGTGTGTGTGTGTGTGTATACAAATACATGACTTGATAATATATGACTTGAATATATATGAATATATATTGAATACAATACATATGACTTGAAAATTCATTGGGGAAATGTCCAGTATCTAGAATTTACAAATACTTCTTTAAAATTTATTTTAGTTTATGTTATTATGTATGAATGTTTTGCTTGCTGTACCATACTAAGACTCACAATTTAACAACAAAAATCACACCAATTTTTTTAAAAAAAAAAAAAAACATGGAGGGGATGTGGTGGTTTGAATAGCAATAGACCTCATAGTTTCATATATTTGAATACTTGATCTCCAGATGGTAGACTTTATGAAAATATTAGGAGACATGGCTTTGTTAGAGGAGGTGTGTCACTGGGTAAGCTTTAAAATTTCAAAAGCCCATGCCATTCCTAGTCTTTCTCTCTCTCTCTCTGTCTCTCTCTGTCTCTCTGTCTCTCTGTCTCTGTCTCTGTCTCTCTCTCTCTCTCTCTCTCTCTCTCTCTCTCTCTCTCTCTCGGATCAGATTCCAGCTCCCAGCTACTCCTCCAGTGCCATGCCTGCCTGTCTGCCACCACGCTCTCTACCATGATGGTCATGGTCTGACCCTCTAAAACTGTAATCCCCTAGTCAACTCTTTCTTCTCTAGGTTGCCTTGGTCATGATGTCTCATCTGAGCAGCTGGAAAGTGACTAAGACAGGGACCGTTGAGATGGGTCATCTAGTAACGGTGCCTGTTGCTAAGCCTGACCATCTGAATTCGATTCCTGGGTCCCACATAGTGGCAGGAGAATGGTGACTCCTACCCTTTGACCTCCACACATGTGCTGTGTGGTATGGATGCATGTGCAACCACACACACATACCAAAAGATGTAATACATTTTAAAAAATGCACAAAGGACTTGTTTTTCCCAAAGAAGATATATCATTCACTAACATGAAGCTAAGGGGCCAGAGAGATCACTCAGTGTATAAAATGCGTGCTATATAGGCACGAGGACTCGAATCTCCAGCACCCACATGAAAAGCTGGGTCTAGCAGTGTGGACCTGTAATTCCAGACCCAGTGACACAGCAATGGGAGGATTACAGGAGCTTAGTGACCGGGAAGCCTTGTCAGTTCAGAGAAAGACCCTGATTCAAAAACAATAAGGTGGAAAGTGACAGAGGAAACACCCCACATCAACCTCTGGCCTCCATGTGCATACACACGCATTTATATTTGCACCCACATGTATATTTGCACAAACATGTACACATGTGTATGCTAAAAAGATCAGAGACATGGTCATTAGGAAAATGCAAATCAAGTGGCTGGGAGGTATCTCAGTGGGTGGAGTGCTTGCCAGGCAGACACAGGGCTCTGGGTTCAGTTCCTTGCACTGTGTAGAACCAAGCATGGTGGTGCGTGCTTCTGATTGAGGCACCCTAGACACGAGGCAGGAGGAGCAAAAACCAAGTCATTTTCAGCTACAAGGAGAGTCTGAGGCCAGCCTGGGCTACACCAGACCCTGCCTCAAACATAAATAAATAAATAAATAAATAAATAAATAAATAAATAAATAAATAAATAAATAAATAAATAAAAGTATTCTTAGGAAAGGAAAGAAAATTCAAATCAAAATGACGAGATACTTCATACCCATTATAATGGGTGTAAAACTAAACAAAACAGAAATTACTGATGGAAAAATTCAGAATGGAGACCCTCAAACATTACTTATAGAAATGTAAAATACTCTTATATAAAACAGTTGGTGAGTCCTCAAAAGATTAAATGTAGAATTTCCATAAGTACTTAATAATTACCATTCTAGGCACATACACAGATACGGTGTCTCAGAAAGATACTTGCTCACTACAAGCAAATAACTGTAAAATATCCAGATGTCAATCTGTAGATGACTAGATAAATAAAATGTGATATATACAGGCAAAGGAATACTATTCGACCATGAAAAGGAAGGAAGTGAGGAGTGTAGCATGGTGCTGCTGTTCTTACTTAGTGTGCATGAGGCCTTTGGTTCCAGCCTATTGATCAAATCCATGCCCTCCTCCCTAAGGTCCCAACAACAAACCAAAGCAGATCCCATCAAAGTTCCCCTGGGGCATCAGTGAGGACAACTTCTGGGAGTCAGTTCTCCCCTTTTATCGGGTTCTGGAGAATTCAGGTCACCATGGCTGCAGCACAAGTGTCTTTATCAGAACCGTCTGCTAGCCTGATAAAAATATTCATAAGGAGTTGACCCTCAGCTGTAAGAGTCTTATTAACACTCACCACCAAGTGCTCCTGGAAGCACTCCTCCAAGTAACAAAATGTGTTTGCTGAGTGAGAGAAGAAATTTTTCTCCATTGAAATAGTTGCTGGTCTGGTGTACTGCCAGCTCCCCCAGAAACTACGAAGAAGGAAGCTGTTAGAACTTTCCACGGACCGTGAATGATGAAAATTAAAACTAAAAGGGTACAAGTCAAAGCATTTTCCTAGTCATTAAAACTTTCTCTGCCTAAGACATTGCCAATATGATTCAGATGCCAGCCAACAAATAACAAAGCCAGCAAACCCCGCTAGCGTCTGGTTTTCACGCATGCTCTTGCCAACACCTGCCCTTAGAGTGTTTCGTCTGCCATCTTGCTTGCGGAAGACAAAACTCATGCTGGCCGTGGGATCCAGGGTTGGACTTCTGAGGCTCACTCACCCCAGTCACACTCGATGTGTTCCACATGAAGGAGGCACTAACTGGGACGCCATTACTTTTCTTGATGCACACTGATTTTCACTGTTACAATTTTAAGGCAGGTCTCATATAGCCCAGGCTGGTTTCAAGCTCACTCTATAGCTGAAGCTGGTTTTGAACTCCTGATCCTCCTGCATCCACCTTCCAAGTACTACGATGAGAGGTATACACCACTATGTCCAGCTTTGCTTATGATGTCTGTGCTTCAGTATCTTTCAGTAGGTGTCAGGGGAATTAGTGGTTGCCCAAGAAACTAGAGGTTTATTTCATATTTAAAACATTTTTTTTTTTCACACTGGGGATATAGCTCAGGGATTCAGCACTCACCTAGCATATGCAAGGCTCTGGGTTCAATCTCCAACACCACAAACATAACCTCCATTTCTGTATATTTGTTATTATTTTTGTAACAGGGCTTTTGAGTTGGAATAGGGACAACTGAGTCACCGGTCACACTGAGCTCCTTGTTAATTGTGCCTGTTGGGTTAACCTGACCCCTGAAGTTGGAATGCCACCACAGAACTAGATGGATGTTGGGTACTGAGCTGTGCTTGTCCAAAGTTAGTATGCTGAAGTCCGAATTCCTAATACCTCAGAACCTGGTCTCTTTGGAAATAGAGTCTTTAAAGTTGTAATGACTTAAAACGAGGTCATTAGAGCATGCCCTCGTCTAATAAGGCGAATTTCCTTCACCAAGAGGAAATACAGACACACAGAGGAAAGACCAACAGAACATACTGGGAGAGGGTGGCCATTTGCAATCCAGGAAACTAACACATCCGACACCTTGACCTGGGATGTCCAGCCTCCAGAACCATGAGACAATGGTTTTCTGTCGAAGCTATGCTGCCCGTGGCACTTGGCCATGGCAGGACAATGGGTAAACGCAACAAGCAAAGATCTTCTGGGGAAGTGCGCGTTCAGGAAAAGGCAGAGGAAGCAGTCAGGAGAGGGTCATCCGGCCACGGTGTAAGTAGGACATCTGAGGAATAAGAGAAACAGAAGGATGGGTAGGACGGCTTCAGGCTGCAGTGTGTCTGGCAGCCCCTGAGGGAACGCTGTCTGTTAGAGAAGTCCTTCCTCCTGGATCTAACACCCTGGTCACACTCAGAACTTAGCTGAACAGGCTCAAGGCCATGTGATGGACAGGAAACAGCAACAGACTTAGCTACAGGCTGGGCTGAGAGCATGCCTACTCCCCACAGTGTGTTGTGGTGATAGGAACCCAGGCAGCTCGTCTCCACTGCTGTTGTGTGGGATGAAAGACAGAGGGCCTGCCTCAGGCCTCTCCCTTCCCAGGGCCCCTTCTCTTCCCTGCCTTCTAGAGAAGGAATGCTCATTGAGAATCCTCAGGACCAGCATGGGCTGGGGTGTCACAGGACATTGGAAAGCAAGGCGGGGAAGCCTTACCTGGTGGGGCTTGATGGAACATGTCTGTAATCCAGCATCTGAGAGACTGAGGCAGAAGGTCAGCCTGGGATACAGAGTTAAAAGTCAGCCTGGGATACATAACAAACATAAAACAGAGCTACAGATACCAAGGAATACTGGAAACACACCGTGGTGTTGGTGTCAACCTGCTTCTTCCTACCCTTGTCTCGACCCTCAGCAACAACTGCAGTGAACTTTAGCCCTTCCAGAGAACCATACAACCATCACACACACACACACACACACACACACACACACACACACCACATACACACTCATACACACACACATACACACACACAAACACACATACACACATACCACACACACAAACACACACACACACAGTCACTGTACAACTAAAGCACATGTACATTTAAAATATAAAATTTGACTCAGATGTGGTGGCACACACTTGTAATTCCAGCACTCAGAAAGCGGAGGCAGGAGAGTTATAAGGTTTATGCCCAACCTGAATTACATTCCATGACAGTGTCTGGGGAATACCAACAAAACCAGGCAGGGTGATGCACATCTTTAATCCCAGCACTCCAAAGAGAGAGGCAGGCAGATCTCTGTGAGTTCAAGGCCAGCCTGGTCTACACAGCAAGTTCTAGGCCAGCTATGACTAAGTAGTGAGACCTTGTCAAAAAACAAAAACTCAAAATATCAGCAAACTACAGGTAGCATAAAGTTAGAAAACAAACAGGCATAAAGCTAGAGCCCACCCACCCACCCAAAAAAGAAACACAACATAAATCAATATTAGAGGGGATTTCCTACCTCTACTCCACTTCAGCGAACCCTGGCCTTTGGAAAAAGGCTGGAAAACAACTCTTCCAGGTCCCACCTTGCCGACCGGCTCCTAGCCATGCCAGGTCAGTGGTGACAGCTCAGGTCCCGTGGAGGGATCCAGGCTGGATTCAGGTTGAAAATCTTATCAGCTCTCACAGTTTCATCTCTCTGAGGCTAACTGCCTTCAGAGTTTTCTTCATGACTGTACTTTCTCTTTGCATAGCTACATTCCTGCTCCAGGGAAGGAATTTCTGTTTTGTTTATGATTGTCACCCTAGCAACTATCTTGGGAACTCGGTTTTAGGGTTCATGGGGCATTCAGCTGAGTTTGATGGATGAATGGGACTGCTTCGTGGACTCTGTGTGTAAAAGGCCCCTAGACATTTTCAATGAGAGGTTGCTCTGAATATACTAAAGAGTTACAATGCGCTGTGGTTTCCACTAGCCTGTGTAGACCTCTCATACAGAGAAATGTATATTGAATTCTTTCCTAACAGTGGTTACACATTTTTAATTTATGGTTTGTAATTCATGAAAAGATGAACTACAACACAACCAGTCAGGAGGCAGAGCTGAGAAAACGGTATGGTACGTGTAAATGCACAGCCAGAGGTTCTTGCCACGGCCTGTTTTTTTGACAGTAGAAGCTGAGATTAGCATTGCAGCCTGCTTTGCACGACTGGAACAGGAACAGCCGGGGCTGAGCAATTACTGAAGGACAGGGATTCCTTCCTCACAGTCGTGGGGGCTGGGGAGCTGAGGGCTGTGGGTCCCACGGTTGCTGAGCTTCACTTGCTTATCATTCTATGGTAAGAAGTGGAAAGAAGGAGAACTGGAGGTGAGGAGAAGGAGGGGGCCAGGAGGAGAAAGAAGGAACAGAAGAAGGAAAGAGAAGAGAGTGGAGATGAGAAGAAAAGAGAGATGGGGAAAGGAAGGGAAGAAAGAAAAGGGGATAAAAAGGAGAGAGACAGAGGTAGAAAGAGAGACCCAGCTTGTGAGGCCAAGGACGTGGCTCAGCTGGGAAAGGCGTTTGCGCACAAGTCTGATGATCAGGATTCAATCCCTGCAGTCCACAGGATGGAAGGATGCAATATGTGACTCCCACAAGTTGTCCTCTCCTACACACACACACACACACACACACACACACACACACAGAGAGAGAGAGAGAGAGAGAGAGAGAGAGAGAGAGAGAGAGAGAGAGAGAGAGGCACACACTCAAACAAAATAAAAATGTATTTTTTAAGTAGTTTTTGCTCATTGCCCTCACTCACACAGAATCACACTTTGAGAAAGAAAAAAAAGACGTGACTAAAAATAGCTAAAAGAATACTTACAAGATGTATTTCATCATTGTGGGTGGACAGTTGAGGGCTGAGACAAGTGCCCCAAATTACTACAGGAACATCTAGAGAACAGACATTGGAGAGTCCTTTTGCCTACACATTGGGCTTTCTTAGGCTGATTTGTTCGGAGATCAGGAGCTGAGTTGATTAAGTCCCTGGGTTTAATCTCATAACAGGCGGGCAAGGGCTGTGCATCTCCAGCACTATCATGGGAACGAGGGGCAAGTACAGACCAGAACGTCTGCTTACACACCATCCTCATTAGAGAGAGACCCAGTGGAGGGCTCCTCTCACATAACTTTTGCTTTAGTTTGTTACAGGAAATGACTCCAGAGTGTGCCAACAGAAAGACACTGATCAATTGTTACTCAGTTCAGGTTAATCCTATGGAGTGAAGATAAAGTGTGGCAAAGGTTTTCTTTCTCCAAGACAAAGATAAGATTCACAGAAATGATATTTAGGTTGTCGACAATTGGCAATTACTCAGTTATCTGCAAGTGAGTTCTATGATTATGCATTTATTTAATTAGTTGAGCAACTATTTATTAAAAGTTCATTACATGCTGTTACCACATAAAATGTAGGTATTTAAAAATAAATAGGGGACTGGGAACGTGTCTCAGTCAATAAACTGTATTTGCATGTCAACTTAATTTTGATCCTTAACACTCACATAAAAAGGTGAGGTAGCATGTGTCTGTAGTCCCAGCCTAGGGGAGGTGGAGGCAGGAGGATCACTGGGCTCGATGGCCAGCCAGCCTTGCTGATTTGGTGAGTTCTAGGTTCAGTGATGGACCCTGTCTCAAGAAATAAGGTGGAGAGGATGGAGGAAGATGGCTGATGTCATCTTCTATAGCCCCCTGACCACATGCATGCACATACAACATACTGGGCTGGTTTGAGTAAGAAAGGCCCCATAGGTTCATATATTTGAGTTCTTGATCATCAGGGAGTGGCACTACTTGACAGTAATTAGGATGTGCGGGCTTGTTGGAGGAAGTGTATCACTGGGGTTGTCTTTGGGGCTTCAAAATCCCAAGCCTGTGATGATATTTTGTTGTACTCTAATAAAATTTGCCTGAATATCAGTGGACAGAGCCAGCCACTAGATTAAACATAGAGGCCAGGCAGTGGTGGCACACACCTTTAATCCTAGCACTCCAGAGGCAGAGATCCATCTGGATCTCTGTTAATTCAAAGCTACCCTGGGCTACATGGGATTGATGCAGTCTAGGAGAGAAAACAGAGCCAGGCAGTGGTGGCACACACCTTTAACCCCAGTACTTGGGAAGCACACACGGCGTTAATCCCAGTACTAGGAAGGTTGAGATAAGAAGTGAAATGGCTGGGCAGGAAAAGGCATAGAAGGCTGGAGGAGACAGGGACTAGAGGCCCTTTCTGCTGAGAACTCAGAGGCATTCATTCTCAGGATTCGTGGAGACAGCGTCGGCTGAGGAGCTGGTGAGGTGAGAAGTGGCTTGTTCCTTTATCTCTCTATTCTTTCAGGATTTACCTCAATATCTGGCTCTGGGTTTTTATAATAAGACCGTTTAGGATTCGTGAAACACAAGCCAGTCCCAGTGTCTTTCTTTTCCTTCTGCCTGTGGGTCTAAATGTGGAATTCTTAGCTACTGCTCCAGCACCATGTCTGCCTGTGTGCTGCCATGATGATAGTGGACTAAACCTCTGAAACTGTAAGCCAGCCCCAGTTAAATGCTTTCTTTTATAAAAGTTGCCATGGTCATGGCATCACTGGCTAAGACGATGTTAAATAAATAAACTAGGACCAGGGGTACAGTTCAATAGTAGAGTGTTTGCTTAGCATGTACAAGGCCATGGTTTCAATCCATGGTACAATCAAATGATGATGATGATGATGCTGGAGGAGGAGGAGGAAGAGGAGGAGGAGAAGAAGGAGGAGGAGGAGGAGAAGAAGAAGGGATGAAGGAATGGAGGAAGAGAGGAGGAAGGTTACGTAACTGGCTTGTACTTAGAATTTTTTAGCAAGATTGGAGAAGGTAAGAGAGAACTTCTGGGCAGAGAAACCAGATGTAAAGGCTCTATCAGGAGAATATAACTATGAAAAAAGGAGGGAGGGTTGTTGGGATGGCTGAAGACATGGGACATGAGAATGGATAAGTAGGGATGGCTGGGCAGAGTCCTCTGAAGCCCTTGTATTTCATGGAGAATACTTCAGGATCCTCAACAGATGGACTACTACCTTTTGCCTCACATGGAACAGTTATTGACTGCTGATGTTCTTAAGATGTCCACTGGATCACCTGCTCACTGTTCTTAAGGGAGCCAACTTCCCATAAGACAATGTGTCCCACTTAGGACATGATGAATTAGTAACCTCCAACCCAGCAAAAGGGAGAGGCACCACCCAGAGGTGGCCAAGCAAGGCTTCCTGGGACATTGGAATGAATCTAGAGGATAGCACAAGATGAAGGAAGCCCTTATACGGGTAAGCAGGCATGTAAGATGGGCCCAGACAAAGGCCAGCATCAACCCCAGAGTTGGTGATGGGTGGCAGAGGTGAGCCTGAGTTGGGAGGTCATTTGTGCTCCCTCCAGGAAGCTACACAATGTTCTCCTAAGGAGTTTGAGCCATATAGAAGGCACGGAACTCCTCAGGCTTTTTGAGCCCAGAATTTAGTCATTCTTTATTAAGTTAACCTGGACAATGAACTTCCACTTAGAATTTTTTCTTTTTTCATTTTTTAAAATAATTACTTTAACCTACAATGAAAACCCAAACAAAACCAGAAGCAAAATGCATTGACCATTTGTTAGTAAGTTTCAATCATTTCAGGGATGTTATCTATTTAAACTGCTGTGCCACAGATCTCCTGAACCTTATCCAGAAAACCCAGACTCCATCCCATTACACAGTCACAACTGGTAACCTGCCAATCACCATGCTGATTCCAGTCTCTACGGATTTGCATTTTCTAGATTCTTCATCTAGGTGGAGTCAAGAAGCATTTGTGTTTTGACTGGTATAGACAGACTTTTCTCTTGGGGCCATCAGCTCACAAAAAAATGACACAGAGACTTATTATTAATTATGAAAGCTCAGCCTTAGCTTAGGCTTGTTTCTAACTAATTCTTATAACTTAAATTAACCCATATTTTAAAATCTATGTTCTTCCACGTGATCATTAACTCATCTCCATTATGCCCATCCTAGTTATTCCATGTCTGCCTGGTGACTCTGCCTTTCTTCTTCCCAGAGCTCCCTCTGTCCAAAAGTCCCACCTATACCTCCTGCCTAGTTATTGATCTTTTAGCTTTTCACTAAACCAGACACAGTGACATATCTTCACACAGTGTAAAGCAATATTCCACAACAGACTGGCTTATTTTACTCAGCATAAGGCCATCAAGGGTTATCTGTTACAGCCCGTGAAGATGGCTTTCTGGTTAAGGCTGTATCATATGATAACTAGCACTGCCCTCTGCTTATTCAGTCATATAGTTATAGACACCTGAGCTGCTATGGTACTGTAATGAGCATGAATATCCAAATATCTCTGAGCACCGCCTCACCCCCGTAATCCTTCCCCATCTTCTTCCCTCCCTCCCTCCCTCCCTCCCTCCCTCCCTCCTTCCCTCCCACGCTGTCTCTCTCCCTCCCCCGTCTCTCTCCTTGCTACTCTGCCTGCCTGCTTTCCCCCTTTGTCTCTTTAGTCGGTTCAGGATGCCAGAGAGCAAACCCAAGGACTTACACATGCTTTTACACTCTCCATTCCTAAGGCATACCCAGCCCCCATGCTTTCATCCACATGCGGTCCTTCAGTCTGTGAAGGCTTGGCTTTTAGACTTGGCAATGGTGTGAATGGAACACATTCAGTAGACACTGTACTTTGAATTTTGACCTTTCACCAAGCCATTG